ATGCATATTACTTAAAATTCAATATTAAGTAATTTTATGTAAGTAAAACTTATTAAAGCTCTATTTTTTAAATTTATGTAACTATCTGTAAATAAACATAATCAAATATAAGATAAATATCCATTTTAAATATAAAAAATCTAAAATATAATTAAGATAATTATTGAGTTCTAACATAATACTTAATTATTACTTTTAAAAAAAATCGTATAATTAAATATAAATTAAATTACTTCGTTACGTTTAAGTTAAATTATAAAAAAAAATTTGAATTAAATAAATTACACAAAATAAGATTTTTTTAAATAGTTAATTTGATACTAATATCGATCTAGTTTTCTCAAATTTTTATGATATTTTATTCAAAAATAAAAATATTATCGTTTTCTCAAAACCACATAAAACCGTATTATATTGACATAGATAAAGAATAAAATGAAATATTGAAATCGATGTGTCTCGATGCATTGCATAAGTACCCTTCTAGTTTTTTTAAATGAAAATCTATAAATTTATTTTTAATGACTTATGCTATGATTAGTAATTACCCACTAATCCGATTTGGACGGTTTAATCCTCCAAACTACAAATCAAATCACAACAGTAATTTGATTTTTTATTTTTAAGTCGGACGGTTTGTTAGAAAATGACCAAACCGGTCAAATGGGACTATAAAAAAGTGGTCTAGATCGATTTAGACGATTAAGACCTTTTATAGAGATGGCAAAAAAAACGTAAACCGATTGTGAAAATCGAAAACCTAAACTTTCGAGTCGGATTCGAGAACATAATATCGGGGACGGGGCAGGATCTGGAACATATTCGGGGATTTTAACGAAGACGGTGATCATCGGCCCCGCCTGGGCCGATATGTGTATATATTAATTTTAATTTTTATATAAACTTGGTTGGTACACAGTATTGGAAGCGGTGTACCATTGTACAAATTTATTTAATTATTTATTATTTTTTAGTATTCTTTAAGTTTTGAGTATTAAAGATTGTAGCTTTATCTTATTTTGTTTGAACATGTGAATATTTACAAGTTTTATTCATTGAAATTAAAATCCTCAAACATCATACGTGTTGCCTTAAAACTCAAAATATCACTCAACTTTTGAACAAGATGACAAGATTTTGTACATGTAACTTGAAATTGGTATAAACTAATACCAACCGGAAAAAAATTAATAACAAATACAGTTGGTTGGTACATAATAAAAGATTTTGCATACAAATTACAATTGGTTGATACACGATATTGATGAAAAAAACTTTATGTCGTACCCAATCCATGCTTAATTACCAATAAATTAACTGTTAGCATAAAATTCAATTACAAATAAATAGTGGTTTATAGACAAGTTGATAAATGTAAAATAACGGTAAATATTACACAATCATAATATTACATAAATACAATTAGAACAATCATTAATATATATCATCATATACATAGCGACCGGTTCAAACGAAAATGCGAGAAGTTTCAAATCGCATGTCATGTGTGATATAAACTCGCAATCACATGTGATACATATATGCTCCGTTGACTGGTAATAAAGCGGACGACTTTACCCACGGTTGCATTGATTGATTCATTTGCATCCCTTTTTGGTATGTCGTGTTACATTTGATCTTGAAACTTCTTGTAAATTAACCAACTTCTCCCTTTATCTCGTCTCTCAATTTAACGCAAAACCATCCCTCATAACACCAAAACCTATTTGGCATTTATAGCACAAGACCCTTAAAACTTTTTTGTCTAGCAAACGAAAATATGCTTGAAACCACATGGAAGTTTACGTATAAAAAATAACCACTAAAAAAAAGATCAGTACCTGAAGATAACAGGAAAAAAACCCATACAAATGAGTTTTGGTAGTTTGCCTCATTTAGTTCAACAAAATTCGTTACCTGAAATATTTGAACTCTTCACTCGAAAGATTTAAGGCATGACTTCTACTACTGGACATAAACACTTTTGTAACAGGTATTCAAGATAAAAAATAATGTTTAGCTGGTTTTTCTTCAAGAAACATTTACGTTTTCAAAATAATTTGCTTGACAAACTCGGACCTTTGTCGTTTGTTGCCAATCTGGCACACCTTATGTGAGATTTCAAGATTCAACAAATCGTTGTGAACTACTTATTACAAGCAATTAAATATTTTAAAAATTTTAAACATTAAATTGACTGATTTGTTAATCATCAAAACACAAAAAGATGAATGATTGCATCAATAATGTACAAGAAAGGTCCATGCATCTAGAACCAGTTTTGGAGTGGTTACTAAAATATCAACTATGAGATATTGAATTTTGCTGAGAAATGATAATGGCTTGAGGTGGCTTATTTGAAATAACTTGTGTTTTTCTACAAAAACACTTATCAACTTATTATAAGTCAGAAGAGCTTAACTTATTTAAAAACTTTTTATTATCGATTTGGTATCGTATAAGTTATTTATCTAAACACTCAAAAGTATTTATCATCGAAGTCACACCAGAATAAGTTAATAAGTTATTTTTAGAAGCAATCACAAACACCCCCTATATAACATATTTTAATTTTATTTATTTATTTGAGTTGAGATACTTTGAATTTGTACTACGGGGTCGGGTATCATATAACCCTAATTTTGTGGTCAGTGGCCACCGACTTTCCTTTCCTTTCCTTTCGAGAACCGCTTGTGGGAGGAACAAGGGTTTACGGACGCTTAAACCCCAAAAATGGCGATGGCGATGGCGATGAGGACTGCCACAACCGTCGCGGCTGCCGGTCCCCGTGGCCTCAGATCGCTTTTCTCAACTCTTTCTACTAACTTCCCTTTTCCTTCACAGCCGGCCAATCAACCACAGAGGCCGCAGGCTGAACCTTCTACCAACCTCTTCGTATCAGGTACCTTTTCTATATCTCCCTTCGTCTATCTCGATTTATATGCGCTAATCTCCACGGAGCTTCCCTATTTTGTGCTTAATTGTATTAATTCTGTATAAACCCTACGTTATTTATCGCCTATCATGTTAATCGCTTTAAATAGTTTATTTGATCCACTCAGCGGTACGAGCTTATGATGATAACGAGTGGGAAGTAAAAAAGCAATATGCATACAGTCAATTTTTTCTGATGATGAGTTTTCTCTCGTACTCATACTCAAAGATTATGGTGGTTGATTTCATGTCTGTTGTTTGTATTTTTATTGTTTGTTTAGGGGATATTAATATTACATTTGATACTTTAATGTTGTGTTCAATTTGTCATTAAATGATACTATGGGCATTTTCTTGAGTTTCCAATGGTGCTGAATGCAGGTCTTAGCAAACGCACAACTGATGAAGGACTTCGAGAATGCTTTGCGAAGTTTGGTGAAGTTGTTCATGGTTTGCTTCTTCTGCATAAATTATGGCACTTGAGTCATGAACGTTGTTATTTTAAGTTGAATTTGATTTCTATCTTTCTGTTACTTTCTGCAGCTAGAGTAGTAAAAGACCGTGCATCAGGTTGGTCAAAAGGGTTTGGCTTTGTACGATATACCACACTTGAAGGGGCTGCTGCAGGCATCGAGGGAATGGATGGAAAGGTAATCGTGCACATCATTAGTATTTGATAAGTAGAAGTAACTAGGGATGCAGAATGGTCCATTTCCTGTTGTAAAGACTTGATGCCTAAATGTAATATATGTTAACACCATGATCTGTTGATAACATATTGCTTAGTGACGATACAAGTTTTAATGATTCCCAAGTTATTCCATGTCATGGTTCATAGGGCGGGCTTATGTTGCTTGGTATCTTCCATCCCCTATTTTGATCCTTATTTGCTAAGCTGGATTCTCAGATTTTGAAACATGAATGGCATCTTTCTAATCTCTCTCAAATAGACCCAGCTTTTAGATATGTTATAAATCTTTAAATAATTAATTTTTTTTTATTACTTACCTCAATGCTAATCTTGGCCTTCCCTTCCCTATCCTAATGTATTTATCTGGATACATGTAACCTCATCTCACCTAAAGGTCAAAATCTTCGTTATAAATATACAAACCATCTCATGTTTTGTCGCATCTGTTTCTCTTATGTCACCTAATCTTTGCCTGGATGCCCTCACTCCTAAACCTATATATCCTTGTATATATGCACTATTACCTCATCATTTGTATTTATTGTTACACCAATCTTGGATATATATATACATATGTATGTATGTATGTGTATATATATATATATATATATAGACTTCGGATCACGTGAGACCAGCCTGTTTGGGTGAGACCCATGAGACCACTTCTTTACACTTGAAACTTCCCTGCAAAACACTATGAAGGTAACGTTCAGAGTGTTTTTGCTGTGAAGGTTTGGACTTTTTTACCTTCACAATGTTCTGCTGTGAAGTTTCAAGTGTAAAAAAGTGGTCTCACGGGTCTCACGAAAACAGCCCGGTCTCACGTGAAATCAACCCTTTATATATATAGTAGAAGGGTACTCGTGCAATGCATCGAGACAGATCTCATTTAAATGTTCTGTTTTATTCTTTATCTGTATCGATATAATACGGTTTTATGTGGTTTTGAGAAAGCGATAATGTTTTTATTTTTAAATAAAATATAAATTCTAAAATATCATAAAATTTTAAAAAGAGTACATGAATATTAACATCAAATTAACTATTTAAAAGTTATTGTTTTGTGCAATTTCTTTAATTCAAAATTTTTATTATAAGAATTTTATGTAACGAAGTAAGTTAATTTAGGTTTAATAATATAATTTTTTTATAAAGATAATAATTAAGTATTCTGTTAGAACTCAATGATTATCCTAATTTTATTTTAGATATTTTATATTTAAAATGAGATATTTATCTTGTATTAGATTATGTTTATTTATAGTTAGTTACACGAATTCAAACATGAAGCTTTAATAAATTGTAATCATGCACAATTTACTTGTAATCTTGAATTTTAAGTAATATGCATTAATAAACAGTACTTCATGCATAAATAGTTTTTAAGAATTCTTGTCAAATGCTTTATAATATAGTATAGATATATATCATTTGGTGGTCCTCTGGACTTCTTGTTGTCCCATAGAATCTAGCTTTCAACGTTAGTAGTTCACAGTTACATAAGACTTCTAATACTTGTCGCCATCCCACGTACTGTTCTCTCATCACAATATCAGTATATCACATGGCGAACATCTTCATCAAGTTCTTGGTCCTGTGTGTGACAAAACCCAAAAATTCAAAAAGATGTCTTTCTTAGGTGCTGCCTTTTATCTAGTAACTCTCACAACACTGCGATCTATTACATGAAGAAATTACATATAGGTCTGCATGATCTGAATGCTGAGGATTCAACAGTGCTTATGTGACCCAGTCAGCTAGTCTCATCAACTAGCATTTAGTAATGCATCAGCAACACAACATGCCATATGCTTTCACTTTTAGTTTTTTTCGTCTGTCACTAATGGTTATAAACAAAGAGATAAGTGCTTATTGCTCATCCTTGTTGTGGTCATTTGATGGTATCCTGTCTAAGATCTTGTTCAACCTTAATTTTTATTTGAATTGTTTTTTTATCCTCTTAAGATCATGTACCCTCCCCAACTCTTCTTAAACGGTTAAGGTGCTGTTGGTTGGTTTTTCATTAAGTCCTGTATGGATAAAGCTGTCTGTGTGTATTAATCGGTCTTTATAGATCGGGAAAGTTTTTGTTTGGGAAGGGTGTTTCATAGATATAAGGACCGTGTGGGGCGGATTGGGATTGTTAAGCAATTCACGTAAGCATTGACTGGGGGTTTTACTGGGGCCAACTAATAAAAGGCCCTTTTTTTGGGAGTGAAAGGTTTTGGAAAAAATTGGCTTTCTGCATAAAGCTCCCCCTTATAAACTTACTGAATAAGCCACTTTCAGTATCATTAAGCCACTACCAAACAGTCATGCATAGCTGACCGAATAAGTTGTGAATTCCATTAAGCCTTTTAAGCTACTGACAAACAGGCCCTAGGTGACCATGTATACATTATACACAGACACACACACACACACAATTTGGTGTAATTCTACTAACGATTAAAGACTCTTAGAGTATGTGCTATCGATACGTTCATCATGTTAATCTCTATTTGTTGTCGGTGTTGCAGTTTTTGGATGGTTGGGTTATATTTGCAGAATATGCGAGGCCAAGAGACCCTTCTCCTCCACCACCTCCTTCCTATGGGAACAACCAATATGGCCAGCAATGAAAGATCGATCAATGAACTATATAAGTTTGGGTGCGTCTATGATAATCACTGTATTTTTTCAACTATTTGAGCAAGAAAGTTTTGACCTTCATTTATTATAGCACAGGTAATATTTACGTGTTACGTTAAAGTCAGTCTATCAGGTTGCTCGTTGGAAAACAATAGATCGTTGCCATTTTAGTCAACGATGCCTAATGTTATATCGAATTTCTTTTTGTTTTTATTAATCAAACCTTTTCTCCCTGGTCACGGCTCATATCCATCAGATGCTCATCAATTTGCATCAGTCATTATCTTATCCACGCTGACGTAAGGTTTTTGTATATAACCCATATGTGTGTGGGGTCGTGGGTTCGAGTCCGGTCATCGCCCCCACCAATAGAATGCGTGTGCAACTTACTCCCCCCATCTGGGACCAGTGCAGTGAGGGCACTCCAAAGGATGGTGTAGACCCTTTTTTTGAATGTGTGCATATCAAGTTCATTTGGTTTGGTTTGTTTTATTACCTTCAGGGGTTGTTTACGAACAAAAATTGGGTAAAGCACCAAGGGTTCAGTCTGGGTAAGCACCGACTCGACCCAAAGTGCCGACTGAAAATGGTTGTTTCCCATGCGTCAGGGTAAGCGTTGACTGAAACATTGACTAACCATCGATCGAGGCAGAAAAAGCAACCCTTGTCTGGTCGGCATCATGAATTTTTTTCAAGTGGTGACACAATTTGACTGCAAGAAATATATAAATTATTTTTCGGAATGTTATTACAGATTTGTTGGTTGGTTCCTAGTCTTTACATAGAAGTGACCATGTTCAAGTCCGGCTTACATATTATATAAAAAAACACTAAAATTTAAGCTAAAAAACGACAAATTTGACACTCAAACCATCTCAGTCATTAATGTTTCATTTCAGTTTCAAAAACTATATGGTGTCACCTAGCAAAATAATACGATAACACCCGACAAACGTAATTTTTCTCCTTGTGACGGAACCATGAGATGATGGCTCATGCCAACGTATCATTGCATGTGGGTCTGCCACTGTGGGTTGTTGGAGTTCCACATTTGTTAAAAAGCTCTTTTGCAGAGTAATCTGGGACAAAGTGACCCGAGGATTCCACATTCTCATACGTTAATCTACAAAGTAACTTCCTTTTACATGTTCATTGATACATCTTAAATTTCTTTTGATGATACAACATTATATATACTGAACTTAGATTATGTTAAATAAATTCCTATTAGAAATTACACATTATTAATGGGCAATATTTGGGGTAAAAAGAGGTATTGCAACATCGACGCTTCACGCTACACCTCGTTCTCTCCATCGGCCATTCCGTTCATCGTGTCGTACAGCGGCTTGTTCAAAGTTTCCGGCAAGTAAAACGTAAGAAAACCGCCCACAATCCCGCACACGCCAAAAACCAAAAATGGCAACCCGCCGCCCATAACCACCACGAAAGGTGCCAGAATCGCCCCCAATTGTGCCGCCTGTGTTGCACATCCGAGGGCGGCGTTTCTCACCACCGTTGGAAACAACTCCATTGCATATATAAACAGCAGATTGTAAGTCCCCGCCATCCCGAAGATCCCCAAAACACCGCAGAACATCCGAATCACCTTCCACGCTCCTTTTCCATCCATAAAACTGCCTGCGATGCAGAAGGCTCCGCTGAACCACTGTGTCCCGACTCCCAACGGCTTCCGTCCGAACCTATCGATCAAGATCGCGGTTAGAAGAAACGCCGGCATCTCCGCGATCGCATTGACTAGCACATTGACGTAGAGATTGGTCTCGAGGTTGACCACGTTTAAGCTGAGACCGTAGTACACAACGGAGCACGCGAAGTTGATTCCGACCACGAGAATCAAACGGATTCGAGTTAACGGCGATTTGAGTGCATCGATCACTGATCCCGTCACGACTTCTCTCGACCGTTCCTCATTACCCTTCTGATCGTTATCGTTGACCTCCTCGTCACGGGAAACATACACGTTATCTGGAAGAGATCTTCCGTTGGTGACGGCAATGGCACGCATTATCTTCATTGCGTTATCCGTTTGGCCTCGAATAAGATACCAACGAGGGGATTCCGAAATGAACGGGAGGATCAAAAACACGAAAAGTAGGGACGGTATGGACGAAGCAACATATAGAGATCGCCATGTTTGGAAAATGTAAGCAATCCCGGAGAGCAAAGCTATTCCACCAGAAAAGAAGTAGAACGTGGACATCCCCGCCATACCCCGGCTGGAAGGTCCTACTGGCTCGGTGGCAAGGACGAACGCACAAAGACCGACTCCACCGGTGCTGAAACCGGTAAGAAAGCGAAGGAGGGTGTAGGTCAAGTAGTTTGGGGAGAGGGACGTTAGTAATCCGAAAAAGGCATTGAGTATGCACACAACGGTGAGCGACCCTTTTCTTCCGAGTTTTGAGTCCGATAGATGTCCAAATATTCCGGCACCTGCCAAAAACGATACGAGAAATAAATCAAACCATATAAACCCAGCATTACGGTATAGCTTACCGAATGTAAGGTCTAGAAGGGATAAAATATAATATAAAAGAGCGAGCTAGTTAACCAAGACAAGGGTTCAAACCTCACTAAAGATAAGAAGTATATGTAAGTTTATTTGTTACATTTGCTATATATAAAGTATATACTTCAAAAATAAACAAGCACAATATTTATCCTAATGGGTTGTTTGGCAGTTGCTGAATGATTTGATGCAGAATGATTAAGTGGTTCGAATGATTAAGAGACTTTGACAATACGGTGCAAAATGAAAATAATTGTTTGGTAATTATTCAGAATGAAATTAGGGTGTTGAATGGTTAAGGAAAACCCAAGATACAAAATCATCTAGAGAGTTTTAGGACCATTAATAGATAGATTTTTTTTTTACCAAATAAGATTCACCTCTTAATGATTTAAAAATTGACTTTTAATAAAACTATTAAAAAATAAACAAATCATCCCTGAATCTATATATACTGACAAATAAATATCGGAAGTATACAAAAGTCCAACTCCACTCTTCCGACGGACGAGAGTCGTGTTTGTCTGGTCCAATCTTTCATACTCAGCCGCCCCCTTTTTGGTTCCTTATCCCCTTATATATGTTTCCATATATCTTTTCAAAATGTCAGTTTTTTTTTTAAAAAAATTCAATTTTGGTCCCTAAAGTTTACAATTTTTAACTGACATTAACTTCAAAAACTCATATTTGTCTCTCACGTTTATTAGTTTTAACGGTTTTGGTTCCTCTATCTAACGAGATCAGACCGACAGCCCACCACTGGAACTTATGGAAGTAGGCGGGTTGTTAGAAGTTCGGCCTGCCTTTTTTAAGGATCTTTTTGAAAGTTCACTATGGGTGTAGGCATTTTTTAATTCAATACGAAGGCGCGTCCATTCGCGGTGCGATAAGGCACCACCCTGTTGTGCCAACAGCTAACTCAGTTTCGGATTTAGTAGGTTCATCTACAACATCTGGTGGTGCCCTCGTGGGCACGTTCCTCTCTGGGTCGGTCTGTACAACTAGGTCCACTTACCCACGTGCCCAATATTTGATGTGATGACTCTAGCTGCATGTCGGCTTCATTGACGAGTCATTATGGATTGGGGGAAGAAGGCTTTTTCATTCTTTGTTCACTTCAACTGATCGGGCTATCGTCATTAACTTTTTCGTTAAATCCAATTAAATGAGGGGGTGATTTTAGCCATTCACTATCTTCCTTAAATTAAAACAAAAAATATATAATATTTTAAATTTAAATTGTAAAATAATTAAAGAAAGGTGATGATTATCTTTTCCTTTTACAATTTAAAACTAAAAATATAATATAGGGGACGGATCCATAAATTACTTTAAACGGTGACACCATTTTACTATAAAAAAAGATATAAGAATTTTTTTTTAAACGGTGACACCATTTGACTATAAGAAACAAATTTACAGAAATTTTTGTTTGAATGGTGACACAATTTGACTAAAAAATGACACTAACATGATTCGAACTTAGGTCTGGGTGGAATAAAATTCTTGCAAACTTGTTCTCATTGTAGTTTCAAAATATGCGGTGTCATACAATAAATTAATACGGTTGTATCTTTCATAAACCTAAATTTTTTTACCCTTCGACGGATGAATAATACGGTGGCACGTATGCTCTACTGTAGGTCCGTCACCAAATATGTGTTCTAATTTTTATGCAAATTTAAATAATAGTGAAATGACTAAAATACTACTTATCTAACTGAACTTAATGAAAATAGTTAGCTAGTATCAGACAAGAGTGCTCACAATCGTTCGAAAGTTGACAAACATGAAGAACCTAATTTAAGGTTTTTTTAAGGTTAGAGACCAAGAGACATTTGTATGTTTATTTTAAAGATTACGATATTAAATATATAATTAAAATATTCAATATTTTTCATACAATTTTACCATATTAGAAGGATATTCGTTTAATACAGTGAGATATCTTAATTTTAATGTTTTATTTTATTTATTTTTCTCTGTTGATATAATACGGTTTTATATGTTTTTGAAAACGATAATATTTTTATTTTTCAATAAAATATAAATTTAAAAAAAAAAGTATTAATATTAATATTAAATTAATTATTTAAAAATTTTCGTTTTCTATATAATTTATTTAAATCAATTTTTCATTATAAATTAACTTAAATTCAATRACAAATTTATTTATTTTTATTTAATAATATAAATTTTATAAGGATGATAACAATATATCATGTTAAAACTTAATGATTATCTTAATTTTTTTATATCTAAAATGATATGTTTATCTTGTGTTTATCTACAATTAGTTATATGAATTCAAAAATAAAGATTTAATAAATTGTACTTACGCATAATTTATTTATAATATTGAATTTTATGTAATATCCATCAATAAACAGTACTTCATGTATACAAAATTGTTTTTAAGAGTTTTTATCAAATATTTTATAATATAGTATAGATAATTATCCTAATTATATTTTAGATTTATTTAAAATGAGAATTTTATCTTCTATTTGATTATATTTATCTACAGTTAGTTACACGAATTCCAATATAGAGCTTAATAAGTTGTACGTATACACAATTACTTGTAATCTTAAATTTTAAACTGTTTATACAAAAACTCAAAAATATTTATTACCGATATCATACCGAAATAAATCAATAAATTGTAGCTTTTATAAACAATCCTTAACACTCCCTAAATATTGAGAAAGCATTCCCATCCCCACATTTTAGTTAATAATAAAACAATAGATTTTTTTTTTTAAAATATCAAAATGGAATCTCTACTTATATCCCATGTCTACGGTGTCAAGATTCCTTTTGCCATTCTCTCAAAACCCTAAAACCCATCTCCGCCGTTATATTACTTTTAATTTAAACTGTTTAATTAAGGATAAATTGCATTAAAAAAATACTTTATTTTAACTTGATTTTTATTTTAGATAACGTATTTTTAAAAATTTCATTTTGATATTTAAAATATAAAGTTTTAAACATTAAAAAAATCATTTTTAAATTTAAAAAAATCTATGTTACTAATCACGTCAATAAATAATACTGAATTGAATATCATATCATTCGTCACATTGACATGATAATCGGTTAATGTTTCAACCAATTACACGAGAACTTAAATGTTTAAAACTTTACATCTTAGGTATCAAAATCGAAGTTTTTGAAATTGAGTTACTCAAATAAAAATCAAGTTAAAATACATTAATTTTTCATACAATTTACCCGTTGATCAACACCAAACATGATTTATCACCTTTTTATTTAAATTTAAATTTAAATTTAAATAATATTCCACGAGTGTCAGAAAATTCAGGCGAGCACCTTGTTCATTTATACCAAGTTACCAACCCTGATTTATCACCTTTTTAATTAATAATTGTTAAAATAAAATAAATTTTTAGAGATTTAATTTTTAATATTTAATTTAAAATAAAATAATTAAAATAATTTTTTTAGAGACTTTAATTAAAAAAGAAATGCTCTCCATATCGCATGCATTAGTGATTAATGTGGACTTGCCGGACGATGCCAACGTGTCAAACTCGCCAGAAAATGCCAACATGTCACACGCGCCGCCGTGTTTTTTTCTGTGGTTGAATAAAATAAATAACAGATTAGAGATTTACCGATCATGCAGCCGCCGAAGAACAAGGCCTGAACAAGCCCAACCTTATATTTCTGGCCACAGATTAATCCCCATTCGGCCACCGTCGAAGTTGCCGGACCACCGTCCCACTGCCACGTGTCAGGCTGGAGTTCACAAACCCCCTTATCGGCGGCGACTACGCAGTCGGAATTTGGTAAGCATGACCAATCCGGCTGCCGGTCGGCAAAAATCATGACCATGGTGTGGAAGGCTTCGAGAGCCCAACCTAAACACGTGAGAACAAAGTGTTTCAATTGCCAATATCCAAACTCGCCGCAGTGTTTGCGTAACATGTCGTCAATGCAGAGGCGTTCGATGGGTTGTTCATCGTTTCCGGCGAGGTGGGTTTTGTTTTCCGGTGGGATTAGGGGTGAACGGAGATTTTCCGGCGAGGAGTAGATGGTGTGAGAAGACATTGGGGTGCTGGAATATCGTACTGTAGTTGTAATTTTTGAAACACGAAACTAGAAGTGTATATATATACATATACACAAAGGGTTTCAACGAGATGGGAAATTAGGGAAAATTAAGAAGAGATTTTTATCTTTAGATCAATCTTAATTTAATGTCAATATTAATGAGGTGTATTGAGATGTACCGAATCAATTCTCTTTTAAAAACGTAATTCATGGATTGGACATGAGATTAAAGGTGATCAAGAATTTAGATCTCTTTTTACATTTCTTACGTTAATTTTTTTGTCACACGATCCTTCGTCTATACACTAATTTTATTTATATAATTTAAATTTTAAACGGTATAAAATAATAATACTTATTATATTTATAGTAAATTTATGTTTACAATTTATAATTTTCATATATGGTATTTGTTTTTGAAGAAATATATGGTATTTGTTAAAAAAAATTAAATGGTAGCATTATTTGACTATAAGAAACAAATATAGAGATGTCTTTCATAAAATTATCATTGGTATGTTGGCTAGTTTATTGATTTTCATACGTGATGTCTTATGTTGAAGTCTCATATTGCAAAAAACAAAAATCGGAAACATAATGAATCTGAAATTAAAAGCTAAAAACCAAGAAAATGACACTAACGAGATTCAAATTCGGGTTCAGGGTGGATGAAAAGTCTTGTAAACCAACTCTACCAGCAGAAAACTTGTGTTCTCATTGTAGTTTCAAAATAAAATAAATCTTAACGAGCATCAGAGACAAGTCTTGAGTCACGAGCATCATGACGATTGTTGTGGCGAACCTTTTAGAACGTTGTTTAAAACTAAAATAAATTATACCTTTATTTTAAAATAAAAAATATTTAAATTACAAAAATTATGAATTAAACAAATAAATATAAATGATGATAATTTATAATCGTTAATTTAATACTGATATCGATAAATATTTTCAGTGTTTTAAGTTTTCAAATTATGAAGACATGTTTAATCACCATTTATAATTTTTATTTTATTTAAATATTAATATCGGATTTTATTTTTTTCTAAATAAGACGTGACATTAAATTTTTTATTAGTTATTTTTAATAAAATTTTATATCTCGTTGTATCACATGAATATACGGTTACAGATATAGTTTAAAATTTAATTTTATATTAAAATTAATTTTTATTAAATTTTTTAATTTAAATCATTTTGTTTTATTAGTTGTCAGCACATGAAACATGTTTTACTATATACAAACTTGGAAAACAAAGTAAACATATTATATATACCAATTATGATGATAATGCATTGTCCAAAGAGCCGTTCATTAAACATGTATCCGGTCGGTGTTTATCAGAAAATTTTCTTCACCTGATGAACATGGCAAGGGTTAAAAATTTTATCCGATAAGAACAATGATAAAGATAAAGAGTCTTACCCGATAAATTTATACTCGAGTAAGCGTTTCGGGTAAATTGTTACATACAATACCGTTTTAATATATTATAATATTACCTGGTAAAATAGATTATAGTGTTGACTCCTATCGATAAACACTTACAGGGTAAGTATTTGGGTAATATATATATATATATATATATATATATATATATATGGGCCTAATCAAATGAGAACTGATTAGTTTGTAGTAACTGTGAGGTTCAATGTGAGCCAATCATTTAAATAATTAATGTTATATCCTAAAATAACATAAAGGGTAAATTGGTAATGTTTATAATCATAAAACCCTAACCCTCTTGTTCTTCCTTCCTTCATCGACTAACCCTCTTTTTCTATTGATGTTTCTTCTTCTTCATCAAGCCGGCCAACGATTTGTAACGCCGCCCTCTCACTCCCGCCGGAGATTGAACAAGATAAAGAGTCCGACACCATTCTTCGTCGTCGGAGGCGCTAATCGAAATTCGGTTGGCGGTGGATTGATTTGTAACACCACCCTCTCACTTTTGTCGCCCTCAACTCCAATCTCCGGCATCGAAGATGATTACGCCAATCCAAGTCACTAGCTTCAATATTAGGTACCGGAGGAGAGACAATATTTTAGGAACAAATAGGTGTGTTATGTCTCCCCCTGTCGAGGGTATGTCTCTTGTTGTCAAGGATTCATGAATGTTTGGTTGAATCGGTTCAGGATCACTTATGTCTTCCTGACTAATGGTTCCTTCTTTGTTTAAAGGTTCGTTGATTTTGGAGAAATAGTAGCAGTTCATCATAAGATCTTTCTGAATTGAGGAAGGATGCTCCACTGCATTAGGCATCATTACTGTGGATTTTGTTGAGAGTATGATCACACTGTAACACAGTGTATCACAATATTCAATTTCATTATTTTTCCTTGTTTTATCAAGGTGTATCACATGTTTTTATGGTTTGAGTTGGTATCACAATGGGTATCACATTGTGTATCTTTGTGATTAATTGGTACCTGCCGGAATAATGTTGGCCGGAGGCCGGAGATTGGAGATGGGAGATGGGAGAGAGGAGAGATGAGTTTTTAAAAAATACCTAAAATGCCATCTAATTTTAATTTTAACTCAAAATACCATAATTACTAATTTCCTTATTTATTCGTTGATTTGTAGTTAAGATTGGATCTCACAGTTACCACAAACTAATCAGTTCTCCTTTGAATGAGCCCCTATATATATATATATATATATATTTGTACTTCATTTGATTTGTTGATCAATATACATTTGTACTTTTCACATCGTATCATTAGTTGTAATTGTTGATTGTTAATTTGATAATTTATATGTTTTAAACTGATAACGAAAAAAGTATATAAGGTAATCGAATAAATATATTGGTTTTCATATTCAGATGAATTTTTATCAACATTTTATTAAAATAATGTTTTTGTTACAACATTATTTCATAATCTGTAAACGCATGAAACATGTTTTTCTATGCATAAATACGAAAAATCATTGCAATAGAGTAAAATACGTCGCAAACACGTAAAATATCATAACTGTCATTGATGTGAACTATTATAATTATCTACCCGTTTTTCAAGTACAAAGTTAACTTTATGTTATATATGCATCTGTTTATATCTACTGTTTTTTTTTTGTCATAGATTAATCTGACATCCCAGATAATTTTTTACAAGAATATTCATCTAAAAACGTTTAGATACAGGAAAACGTATATAAAACCGACACACCAAACGCTTCAATTACACATACAGATGACCTATTGTCGAAGGCATCATAAACACGACTGCATGAACATAGATGTGTCACTAAATGTCTCATATTTTCAAGAAACACGTGAAACATACATTTTTAATTTAATTCGGTGTGTATGTCAATAATACGAAATTCCATAATAAAAAACAATGTGTTTTTTAGTTCCTTCACTGGCGCGCATAATGGTTCTAACGACACTATGTCTTATTTATTTTCTGATAGACATCTGGTCACATTCGGAGTTTCACAAAATACTGATACAAGCTTTTCCTTTCTACAATCGTTGGTTTACTTTTGGCTTCCAAGCTAGATAATCCAATTGATGCATATTACTTAAAATTCAAGATTACAAATAAATTGTGCGAAAGTACAACTTATTAAAGCTTCATGTTTGAATTCGTGAAACTAACTGCAGATAAATATAGTCAAATATAAGATAATCATTTTATTTTAAATATAAAATATCTAAAATATAATTAAGATAACCATTGAGTTTTTACAGAATGCTTAATTATTATCCTTATAAAAATTAATATTATTAAATTAAAAATAAATTACTTTGTTATTAAATCTAAATTAAATTATATTATTTTTTTTTGAATTAAAGACAATACACAAATAATAATAAAAAATTAAACAGTTAATTTGATACTAATATTGATATGTTTATTTTCGAAATTTTATGATATTTTCAAATTTATATTTTATTCAAAAATAAAAACATTATATTTTTCTCAAAAGCATATAAAAACCATATTATAACGTCTAAAAAAAGGAATAATATGAAACATTAAAATCAAGATATATATTCTTACATTGCACGAGTACCCTTTTCGGTAAACCCAAATTTTCATTTAATCAATTTACGCGTGCAATCTAGCAATTATGGTTGATCCTAGAAAAGGTTGACGATAGTTAACGGAAGTTTGACTTTGACTAACGGCGATGTTAAGTGGTCCCCCCGTGCTTAAAAGCTTCTGTGGCATACGGATGTGAACAGAACATAGAAAGATGAGAAAGGTCCTCAGTGTTGTGGTACTTCTAGTAAAACAATATATCTTCTTTTATTTGTTTAAAACACATTGATAATTTTGTTATAAAAAATTAGAAAGGTATTCGTATAATATAACAAAATATATCTCGATTTTAATATTTTATTTTATTTGTTCTTGTAAATTTTATAATACGATTTTTATATGTTTTTGAGAAACAGATAATGTTTTTATTTTTGAATAAAATATAAATTTAAATATATTATAAAAT